TCTCCACGCCACTCTCGTGTACCTTGATCGTCTCCAGGTGCCGATGCCGCCCAGGGATTCACGATCTGCTCGTCGGTGTCGATCCTCACCGTCGTCAGGCTCGTGATATCCTCCATCGTGGTCTCCGCGGTCTCCAGCTGGTCATTCACGATCTGGATGGCAGTCACGCCTATTGAGCTGCCCGCCATCAGCAGCATCACCGCCGTCGCCATCGCGAACCCAGCCCGCCATAGAAAACTGCCAGGTCGTCCGCGAAAGCCTCGGCCGCCTCCTCGCCCTCCACGCGGTAGGCTGCTCGATGATCCGCCGCCTGATGGTCTTGTCTTCTCGCAGTCTGGGCCGCCTTTCCAGCGGCCCCCCCAGCGGCATGCGCAGCACTTCGTGCGAGCCTTGATCTGCTCAAGCTTCTCTTCGGCTTCCTCGCAGTCGATCTTTGTGGGGCACTGCTTGTCGACGTTGGCTTTCCAACCTCGGTTTGACTTGCTCCAGGCTGGCCTCTCCCGGGCCTGCTTGCAGATAGGCTCGTGACCTCTTCGCCCAGCTTGCCACCCGAGACGCTGAGCTTCCGCCGCAAGAGCGCCGCGCCCCCTGGCTGATCTCCCCGGGGCCGACGTCGTCAATCACACCCTCGAACTCGTCGATATCGGCTGCAAGCGCGTCGTAGTCTTCATCGCTCAGGAACGCGCCCTCGTCGCGCATGCCGCGTTCGTCTCCCAGTAGGGTTTCTCTTCGTCGTCGTAGCCCGCCGGGCAGGCCCCATGCCGTCCGCGCCCACATTCGCCTCAACCTGCAGTGCCCAACTGGATCAACATCGCTGCCGTCGCGTCGCCCCAGATGCAATCGACATTGCGTTGTCCGGAAATCACCTCGTGCCCATGATATTCGCGCACCTCAATAGAAAGTATGCCCAAAGGTCTTCGCTCACCGACGCATTTCCCGAGAGATTTGAGCCGCTCGCACTCCGCCCCCCGCCTCGATGCGCAGCCCTGCACTGACTCCGATCCGCTGCGAAATCCTTTTGAAGAGCAACTCCTCAAATTCTTGCTGCCTCCGCAGTGACGCGATCCGCTCGCGAGCTTGTCGCGCGGTTGAAATGACCTACTTAACTGCAGCAAGTGGGTCATCACTTGCTTTCTCCAACACTGCTTGCGTCGCAATCTCGGCCTTCTTCCTCGCGAGTCTCCGCGCTCGCCCAGGTCGAAGAACTCTTGAGCTTGATCGCATAGAGCAACTGAATCTTCCCTTCGCTAGCACGGTAGCCGAGTATCGCGCGCCCCCCGAACTGCTCGCCGTAGGCTGGGCCCCCGTTGTAGCGCACTACGCCCTACTTGTCCACGAAGAGGGGTCCGTCGTTGAACTGCTGCTGCCTGGGCGCCATCTCGTCTATGATGGGAATGTTGCCCAGCGCGTCTGCAATGTTGTAGTTGCTGCTGCCTGGCTCGTTGCCGCAGCGATTGTCGCCCAAGCTGCAAGTGATGATACTGAGCGTGTTGATCGCTGAAATATGAAAGAACGCAGTGGTAAAGCGCCGCGAGAATTGTGACCGCCAGCATTTAAGTCCGCACAGCCACTCTGAGATTGATCTCGCAGACGTAAAACTGATTCAGCCCCAGGCCACCAGTGTAAATAATGGCAACGATGCCCTTCCAACCAGCACTGGATACAAGCGCGAGATGAGAATGCATTGTATGTTTAATTCCGTGCTCAGGCAAAACGCGAGTAGGCGCCCCCCCCCCCCCCCGCCCAGCCTGAGCCAAAGGGGCGCGTGCGAGAGGGGCGCTACACGCAGCGCGAGCGAGCGAGAGCAGCAGCAGCAGAGATAACTACCACCATCATCCTATCTCACATCTCGGCCTATCTAATTCTCACATGTTGTAGGGTCGGGGGCCCCAAGAACAAATTTTGCGCGGGGTGGGAATGCCGGAACGCGGCAGGGGGCGTTGGTCGGTTTGGGATGAGAAATTGTAGGGTGGGAGGTCAAAAAAAAGAATTCTCGCGAGGTGGGGGTGCCGGAGCGCGGCGGGGAAAGTTGGTCGGTTTGGGGCGAGAACTTGCAGGGTGAAGGACCCCGAAACTAGAATTCCCGCGGGGTGCGGGTGCCGGGGCGCGGCGGGGAGCGCCGATCGGTTTCGGGCGAGAGGTTGCAAGAGACAGGAGCCCCAAGAAAAGAATTCCCATGGGGTGGGGATGCTGGGGCGCGGCGGAAAGGCTGGTCGGCTTTGGGCGAGAAATTGAAGGGTGGAGAATCACAAGAACATATTCCCGCGTGGCGGGGATGGCGAAGCGCGGTGGAGGGCGTCGGTCGGCTTTGGGTAAGTGAGTGTAGCGCGGTGGGGGGCGCTGGTCGTTTTTTGAGAAATTGTACGGTGAGGGGTCTCAAGAACAGAATACCCGCGGGGTGCCGATGCTGGGGCGCGATGGGGGGCGTTGGTCAGCTTCGGCAAGAAATTGCAGGGTGGGGGGTCCCAGGAACAAAATTCCCGTGGGGTGGGGATGCCGGGGCGCGGTGGCGGACGTTGGTCGGTTTTCGGCGAGAAATTGTAATGTTGGGGAGCCCAAAAACAGAATTCCTGTGGGGTGGGGGTGCTTGGGCGCGGTGGGGGGCGTTTGACGGTTCTGGGCGACACATTGTAGGGTGGGAGGTGTAAGACCAGGATTCCTGTGGGGTGGGAGTGCTGGGGCGCGGTGGGGAACGTTGGTCGGTTTGGGGCGAAGTAATGTAGCGTGGGGGGTGTGAAGACAGAGCTCTCGAGGGGTGGAGGTGCCTGGGAGTGGTCCCAACAATAGAGCTCTCTCGTGGGGTGGGGGTGCCGGGGCGTGGTGGGAGGCGTTGGTCGGTTTGGAGCAAGAAATTGTAAGGTGAGGGGACCCAAGAATAGAGCTCTCATGGGGTGGAGGTGCTGGGGCGTGATGGGGGGCGTTGGTCGGTTTGGGGGCGAGAAATTGTACGGTGGAGTGAAGGGTCCCAAGCATTGAACTCTCGTAAGGTGGGGGTGCCGGGGCGTGATGGGGGGCGTTGGTCGGTTTGGGGCGAGAAATTGAACGGTGGAGGGTCCCAAGAATAGAGGTCTCGTGGGAGCTGGCTCAAGCGTGGTCAGGATGCTGGCGATGTCAGGCGCGGTTAATGGTGACTGTTTGGTGAAAGGTCGTCAGGAAAAAATCAAAACACAAATAGTTGATCGCACACGCCTCTGGGGTCAGCGGATTTAGTTTCACGTGTTTCTAAACGAGAATCACTCCGCGGGCCCCCATTAGTCGAGGGGCTGGCACGACGTAACTAAAAGAAAACCCTGGGCACCCGTCCTTTCTGGAAAAAAAGGCCCCAAGGAGAGAGGCGGAACATCTTGGCACCCCGTATTGAAGAATCACGGCGTCGGCCGTCTAGGGATGGAATGGTGACGAAGAAGAGGGGGAGGATGAGGAGCGATTTCAGCAGGAAGACAATATCGGTTTAGATTTTCGAGCATTGAAATGCTTTTCGAGCCTCTGGGGGTAGCTCTGGGGACCTCTGGCAGGGTGTTCCTAGAAGTGGCACTGGCCCAAGGTGACCCCAGCTTTCCCAGGGAAGCCCGAGAGGCCCCAAATTAGCGCGAAAAACTAAGAGCACCTGCCCAGTGATACGCAAAGGCTTCTGGAGACGGAGGACAAGGAGGGGAGGAGAATTGGGCGGGTTCTGAGGGAGGCCATCGGGCATCGCTCAAGGCTTTGCTCGACCACGCCGCCCTGCGTGCCACATCGCAGAGCACACGCCAGAGCTGACTGGATTCGGGAAGTGGTTACTGCCACCTCCTTCCTTCGCACTGCGCATGAGCATTTGCGGTTTGTCGAAGCACAAGCCGTGGCAGAGACACGCGAGAATTGGGCATGCAACGCAGCCCAAGTGATGCCAGACGAAGAGTGTAAACCACACGCTAAGGGCTAGCATTGACACCTGCATTCTAAAGGCGAGGACTGTAATAAAACTACACCCATGCTGAGAAACCGCTTACAGCTTACGTCAAGGGAGGCGCAAAAAGAACGAGCTCTGAGAAATCCCTGACAAAAGTCCCCTGCGACCGCAGGCGGCTGAAACCGGGCAGCTCCACAACACAGTCGACTTCTGGCCGTGTAGAAAAGCAGAACCCAGACCAGTCAGATGCGAGTGCAAGAGAAAGGGAAAGAAGGAGGAGAAGGAGGAGGAGGACACAAGGGAGACCAGAAAGGTGGCGGAGAGGAGACGTAGAGCAGCAAGTAGGTGCTGTCAGCGACCACGGAGCCATCTGCACAGGGTCGTGCTGTTGCTTTGTTGGCGCCTGTGCTGCAAGGTGCTATCGGTACGATCTGCCAGTGATAGCTGGTGTCGGTGCGATCTGATTGTGCTTCACGATGCACTGTGCAAGGTGGCAGAACATGGTGCTGGGTGGATTGCACGGTACCGGGCTGTGTTGGTGCCCTGCAACGAGCGCAATCAATTGGAGGGCCGTCCAAAGAATGCCTAGGAAAGCTAATTAAGCAAAAAACTTCAGCAAGCGAGGGTTAACCCAGACAGTATTTAGACAAGCGCGTTACCTCGCAAAGAAACTACTGGCAAATGGCCTGGCTCCGCCGCGAGGGATATACGATCCATCGAATCGGAGGCAAGCATGTGGTTTTCGAACGTTCGCGAGTAGACACGTTGCGAGTAGGCACTTTACGAGTAGTGGAACGCGCCTGGTGAGTATTGGTGCCCTCTAAAGAATCTCAGCAAGGCAGGTGACAGGGCAGCCATGAGGCGATGAAGCTCTGCAAGCGTCCTTACTCAGATCTGGTGAGACTGTGTCCACTGCGCGGGCCCCAAAAAAATCCACGCCCCAACAGGGAACAGATGAGAAGTAGGGACGGCCCAACTTTCTTGCGATCCCGACCTTGTATCGTTCACTTTCCCTCCTCCCCGCCACCCTCAAATACTTGCACAGGCGCATGGACGCTATGCCTGGCATGACCTTCTAGAGCGCAGGCGAGCTGCTAGATCTTCTACTGCCTCACTCTGCGTGGCGCAGAAGGCGGGCGTGCTTGCACTTGATCGTCCTCGAGCGGCCCGTACGGCAGCCGCTGTGCATCAGCTGGATCTGATAGGTACCCTCCTCGCGATCGACGGCGGTGACGACGGCGTGGGTGCCTGACGGGTAAGTACCGACCACCTCGATGAGTGAACCAGGCCGCGCGCCCTTGTCCTCCGGCAACGCTGGCATCAGTCCGCCCGCGAGCATCGAGACAGGCCACGACTGGGCCGAGCCGACGGAGCTGCGCGGCTTGGCGACCCGGCCGTCCGACCCATCCGACGAGAGGGCGCTGCTGCAGTAGCCTGGAGCGTGCGTGGAGCATTCGCTGCACTCGTCGTCCTATGGCTCCGCGCCAGGAGAGATGGCTCGCGGGGAGGGGGGCAGCCTTCTGGCAGGCGGAGAGAGCATCACGGGAACCCTCCCTGCCTTCGAAAGAGAGACGCACCTGAAGCCCCCGAGCCCTCCCGAGAAGTGGCTCGCGGGGAGGGGAGCAGCCCCCTAGGCAGGCGGGGAGGGCATCAAGGGAGCCATCCCTCCCTTCGAAAGAGAGACGCACCTGAAGCCCCAGAGCCCTTCCGAGAAGCACACCCCGCCCTCTTATAGAGGGCCGCCTCTCCCGCCAACCCCTCGGGCGCTGGGAGAACAGAAATGTAACGACACGATACGGCTACGGCAAGTTCGTGTCGCACCGACTGCGGAGTTGGTTCCTAACCCAGCGGGGATCGTTCAACCTTGAACGATCGGCCGATTCCGAAACTTCAGATCGTTCAACATCGACCGGCTCTGGGTCGCAAGCGGCGTTGACGCCAACGGCGGAGCCGCCGCTGGTCGACACGACGCAAACCTACCGTAATCCCTGGACCTCTCGCGGGATGCACTCTGACCGGAATTCCAAGCACGATCCAGCCGTGGCGACGAGGGCTCTCCAGGACGCGCAGAAGCAACGGCACCTTTTCCCTCCTCCCGAGAGGTCCGATGTCGTGATTTGTTCAATACGAGGTGCCCGAAGTCTCGACCTTTTCCTCAGGACTGGTGTTTCATGTTGAATCGTTGCTTGACGGTCCTGGGGCCCGGCGAGGGCCGCTAGAGGCCGAAAACTGCTAAAACCTCCGTCTTGATGTTTGTCGATACTTTGGATCTCTGGGTCTGAGGCGCGCCGCCCAGTCCTCCAGGTCCGCCCAGGCGGTCTTCTTGCTGGGCGACGCCACGGCAGTGGCGGAGATCTCGCGGAGCGCCTCGAGCACCTGCTGCTGGCTGGGGGTCTCCGCCGGCGCCTCCGCCGCCTCCGCGCGCCTCAGGCCAGCGAGGAGGGGGCTGGCGAGAATGGCGTACGTCTCCTGTCGCTGTTGGAACGAGCAAAACAGACACGAGCATAAACTTTCGGAGCTCTGCGCGGATGTCCCGGATCAGCGCTGGACATCCCCATGGCAGCGCCCTCTGGCGCCGCCCCTGGCGCTCTCCGCGTGCTCGGCGCAGATCCCAGAAATGCGCGGGCCAGCTCGTCGCCGTCCGTCGCCGCCGTCGCCGCTGGGCCCCAGTGGCGGTCTGGGAGGCACGTCGCCACCCGTGGCCGCGTTGCTCTGCATCGCTTGGCATTGCATTGCCTTGCATTGTATTGCATTGCATGCCTTCGAATTGCGTTGCATTGTTTTGCATTGATTTGCGTTGCGTTGCAATGCTTTGATTTGCACTGCGTTGCAATGTTTTGCGTTGCTTTGCATTGCTTTGATTTGCACTGCTGCATGTCTTTGCAATGCTGTGCTTTGCATTGCTCTGCATTGCTTTGCACTGCTGTGCTTTGCACTGCGTGGCACCAGTCTGGATTGCTTTGTATTGCGTTGCATCTCATGGACTGTACCATATGGATTGCATCACCTAAACTGCACAACATTGATTACACCACCTAGATTGCACCACATAGATTGCAAGAAAACACTGCTTGGGGTCGACGCTGGCTAACGGTGTTTTTCTGGCTAAGGGCTGCTGTCGCTCGGCTCGCGCTAGATCACCAGGGAGTGGCTCCAGACTTCCCTCGAAATCTCTGTGGACTTACTGAGATTTGTCCGATTGACGTCGATCCACCTGTACTTACCTCGAAATCGTCTGGATTGGCCCCCCGCAGGTCGAGCGGAGGAAACTCGTCAGACCCTTAGGGGTCCTGGCCCGTGACGTCTGGCGCGCAGGAGAGCCCAGGGAGCAGCACGCAGGAGCCCGCGGGCGTGCCAGGCGCGTCCTCGGCTTGGTGCGCCTGCGGGGGGGGGGGGGGGCGCCTAAGATCTGGGCCTTGCCCTTTTGTTCGCACCGCGCGCTTCCGCGTCGTGGCATTTGACATTTTCGGCCTCTGGGCGCCCTTGTCGACCATGGGACCGTCAGAAGACGACTCGGGACGAAAAGCGAGTCTCGGGGAAATTCCCCAACACCGCGGTGCTTCAACCTGGGTCGTTTTCCATTCATTGGTTCGGGACATATGGCTTGTGGGAGCCCAGAGACCGGGGCGTTGCAAAGATGCCCAGCTCGAGAACTGCCGCTGAAAGATGCCGTCCGGGGCTCCGATCGTGATTCTGCGGTGTTGTCGCAACGTCTGATCTAAAGGGATACCAACACTTGGGCATTTTTTACCGATCCCCATCCCCACTGGCCTGGCCTTGGCCCCAATGGCCAAGAACCCTTCTAGATGGGGATGCATGTTCTCTTCGGGTTCCGCGGGGCCTGTCACCAACTTCGGGGGGGGGAGAATGGTGGGGCTGAGATAACTATGGCCGGGTGGGGATGGGATGCGATCGACAATGCTTGAACACCACACGGATCCTGTCCAAGGGCCCACCCTGGGCCCAGGATCGGCGAGGGCGCCATCCTGGCTCGGCCAAGAAAGCGCACGCATTTGTTTCTTTCTGCCAGCAATGCGGCACCGTGGTCCTGATGAACAGTTGCGGCACACTTTAGTGTTTGTTGAATCCGACGTCGCGCATGAGGCCAGCCTGCTTAGCGAGCGGGGGGGCGAGAAACCCCTCGACTACGGAAAGGGCGCACACACACCACACTTGTTGTTGCGTCGGCGGCTGGGCAGAGGTTGCTGCCCCAGCGATCGGGCATCAGTTGGGCGCGCTAAATGCATATGGGGCCGCGGCGCACGGGAAAGAGGAGGGGGCGCCCGGCGCAGGCGGGAAGAGAAGAAGCCCGGCCCCCTCAGGCAAGTCCCAGTAGCGGCGGGTCGGGCGCCAGGGGAGGGGGGGGCCCAGCCGCGGCGCCAGACCGCAGCTGGGGAGGGGGGGGGGGGCGACCCGGAAGCGGCCCGGCAAGCAGAGCCCAGGGGGGAAGCAAGACCAGCGAATGGGCAAGCACGGAACACCCAGACCTGCCAGCGCGAGATCAGCCCCAAGGTAATACCAGATGGGAGCCGACCGTGAATAGCAACAAACGGCTACACAAAGAAATTGACCTGTCACGCGTCGCGCTGAAGCGGAATGGACCACACCATACTCGGGAAGCAGAGCGGCGCCGGCAGAGACCCAGCGGCCGAGGAGGTTATCGCCGAGATCCGGCGACATGCGAGGCGCGGTGGAAGGGGGGGGGGCAGGCAGGGCACCACGGGTGCGCTGCAGCGAGCACGGCCAACCTGAACGGCAGGCACGCGGGCGGGGCACGTGACTGAGAGCTGAGGAGAATACGCCGACATGGGGAAGCAGCGCGGAGCTGGGAAGGGCCCAGTGAGCGAGGCGGGCGGGCGCCGAAATCCGGCGACCTTCGAGGCGCGGAGAGGAAGGCGGGCAGCGCGCTACTGCGCCGCGACTGCGCCGCAGTAGCCGCGGCCAAGCCATCGGGGCTGCCCCGCGAGAAGGGTAGCGGCCGCCCCCGAAGCTGCGTCGAAGAGGGGCGGGGGGGGGGGGGGGGAGAAAACGGGGGACAGAGGGAATGCAACTCGCTGGGTTCCTGTGGAACGCCCTGGGCGAGCCAAAGATTTCGGCCCCATCGACGCCGCTGATCGAGACAGGCCCGTCTCGATCTCGCCCGCCGATCGACAGTTCGCCCCCTGAATCGACCAATGGCGCCCCCGTCAGCGAAGTTGCCCGCGGCTTGGGGCATTCCTGTCAGGGTCGCATCGGCGGCCAGAGCGGGCGGCGCCGCCGCCCCCGCGTCGATCGGCAGGAGCCAGCCAGCCTCGTCGTCGCCGCTCTGGCGCCCGGGGTCTGGAGGGCGCCGCGCGCGCCCCTGGCCTGCGTTCGGCCCCTTGCCCGCGTCGCTCGCAACGCAATCGTCTGCCCCGCGCCCTTCGAACGCGGGCTGGGGGCTGTCTCCCCCCCGAGGGTTGGCATCCAGTGGGCGTTGGTCAGCGGGCTGGTGGCTCCTCTCGCGAGGGGGCGGCGCGCGCGCCTCCACGGCGCCCCCGCGGCCGTCGCCCCCCCAGACGCCGAGCACTCTGCGGGGCCGCGCGCGGAGCGGGGAGGCGGAATCTCGTCTGGGCGCGCGGTTTCCTATTCCGCTGTGAGGGGGGGGCGCGGGCTGCGCACGGCAGGCCGAGCGGCCTCTCTGGCCCCGGCTGCCCCCGCACCCACAGGGGCCCTCCTTCTGGCCTTGTCCGGGGAGCGTTGGGCGACCCGGTCGCCGCGAGGGCTCGCGCTCCAGCAAGAGGGATCGGAGGCGTCGTCTGCATGTCCGAGCGGATCCCCCGGTCGCCAATGGCCGCAGACGCGCTCGCGGGGGGCGGGGGCGCAGCGCCGCCGGGGGGGCGGGGCCTGTCGCCGCCGCCAGAATCTCGACGTCCAGAGAAGATACCAAGCCTGCCCGCCGTGGCGTCTCGATCCGCGGGCCCCAACTCTCGGCGCCCAGAGGGCGCGTCGCTCTGGGGGAGCGAACTGCCCTTCACTCGCTTTGTGGGCCCTCTGCCGTTGCGGGCTCTGCGCCAAGGGGCGGGAACGCGAGAGCGGCGGGATGTCGTCCTGCTGACCTGTGGTGTGCCCAGAGGCAGGGCCTCGGCAGCTCTCAGGGGGCGTCGCGCGGTCTGCGAGAGACTAGGACCTCGGCCTGCCCCTCCTGGGCCCTCTCCGGCTGGGGGGGGGGGAATCGACCTGGCGCGGGCTCTCCGAGGGCAGAGGCGGCCCCCCCCGCGGCCGACAGAGATCCCCAGGGAGCGGGCTCGGCAGCGCACGGAGGGCAGGCGCCATTCGGCTCGGGGAGGCCGTCGGCCCCTTCGCATCCTCCTGCGCCACACTCGGGGGGGCACCAAACTTGGGCACTTTCAAACGAAATCTGGGACGCCCCCCTGCAGCCTGGGAAGCACCCCGGGGGGTGCTCCTCGGCGCGCGGGGGGCGAGCTGGAACCTGAACGGGATCTGCATCGGTCCTAATCCTGCCCACGTCCTCCCGGGGGCCGCATTCGGTTCCGGGGCCCGTCGGCGCGAGCTTCGGAGCCGGTGGGGGCCCTCATTGGGGGGGGGGTCGCTAGCATGAACTGGCCCCTCGGGTGCCCCGGGGACGATGCCGTGACCAAGCGGGCCATCGCTGTCGGCGGCGGCGGGGAGGCACCGAACTGATGCATTTTCAGCGGAAATGGGGGCAGCCCTCCCTACGCACTGCTCGGCGCGCGGAAGGCGCGCTGGGACCTGTGGGGAGCGCTGCTCGTTCCTCGTCGTCGCCCCTCCCCTCATGCCTTCCGAAACCTGGGGGCGGCACCGAACTGGTCCCCTGTCGGCAAAGATAGGGACAGCCCTCCCTGCCCACGAGGCGGCGCCCTGGGGAGGGTACTGCTCGGCGCGCGGAGGGCATGCTGGGACCTGCGGGGGGCACTGTTCGTCCCTGCTCGCATTGTCCTCCAACCTTGCCTCCCTGCCGTCCGCAGTCTCGGGCGGGCACCGAACTGGTGCACTTTCGGCAGGGTTGGGGGTCGCCCTCCCCGCGCCCGAGATGGCGCCCCGGGGCGCTGCTCGGCGCACGGAGGGCATCCTGGGACCTGTGGGAGGCGCTGTTCCCTGCCCGTGCCGCCGTCGTCCTCCCCTCCCTCATGGCCCTCCGCAGCCTCGGGGGGTACCGAACTGGTGCACCTTCGGCGCAGATGGGGGTAACCCTCCCTGCGGCCAAAGGGGCGCCTTGGGGAAGGCACCCTTCGGCGCACGGAGGGCGCGCGCCAACCTGCGGGGTGGGCTCTTTCTCCCGTATCCGTCGGGCGGATGGGTTTCCTGCGGGTCTCATGGGACGTTTTCCTGCCCATGAGGGGGGCTCAGAAGCCTCGCCCGTCAGGTGGTCTGTTCCGCCCCTGCCACCTCCTCCGTGGGGCGGGCGGTGGTCGAGTTTGCGTTTTTTTGTTTTTTCTGGCGGGGCCTCGCAGGGGTGCGGTGGCAGGCGCGGAGAAAATCTGGCCGCTGGGCCCGGCTGTCTGGCAGGGAGCCCCGTCAACCAGATTCCGAAACGAGGTGTTGGTGTCGTGCGAATGTCGGTTTGAGCCAGCTCCCGAAGAGAGTGTGACAGCCCCCAGGCTGTTCACAGAGACAGGCTGGCACCCTTGACTCGGATTTCCCCTACACCCCACACGGTCGACGAGGTCTCTAGGGGGGGGTCCTTCGCAGGGAGCCCCCCTCGGAGTCCATGGCTAGGCTGGGCACTGGCGGGCGGCGCGGTCGGCCGCGGGGGCCGGCCGGCGGCGGCGTGGGGATGGGGCCCCTTGCGTCGGGCGCCCCCTGGAATGCAGAAGACCCCGAGGAGGGGGCCCGCTAGTGGCTTGAGCCAGGCTTCGGAATGCAACACACACCGACACACACACATGTACTTTTCGCGTCGGCGGCTGGGCAGAGGGTGACTGCTCCAGCGATCAGACACACAAACACACATACATACACACTTTCAGGCTTTAGATTCGCAACCTGGCGAAGAGCCCAACGAATGCCACTGCGAAAAAAAAACAAATTGTCACACCTACACACACGCACGTACACGCGTACACACCTACACACTCAAAGCGCACAACCAAAATGAGCGCACACACACACACACACACACACACACACACACACACACACACACACACACACACACACACACACACACACACACAAACACACACATACACACGCACACGCACACGCACACGCACACGCACACGCACACGCACACGCACGCGCACACGCACGCACACACGCACACACGCACACACGCACACACGCACACACGCACACGCGCACACGCGCACACGCGCACACGCGCACACGCACACACACACACACACACACACACACACACACTTTTTGATTTGCGGGGCGAGAGCGAACCTCTTCCGCTAAAAGCTAGGCGGGCCACGCACAGCTTTAATTAGGGAAACTAATTAGGGAAACAGGGCACAGAAAAGCGGGGCCTCAGGCGGACGGAGTTGGCGACGCCCAGGGGTGCAGGCGGTGCCGACGTGGATGTGCAGGAGCAGGTGCGCCGCGGACCGGTTCCGGGGGCGAAGTCCCGGAGGGTGAAGGAGGTGTTGCCGTCGACGGCGCTTCAGACGGGGACGTGCCACTTGACCAGGTCGACGCCCAGGAAAAGGAGGAGCACCACGAAGGCGATGTGCAACGTTGTGCCACTGGGTAATGCGGAAGAGGCCCGGGGTGGTAGTCCCACACACCCAGACACACACACACACACACACACACACACACACACACACACACACGCTGGTCCTGGGGCCCAGGATTAACCTGGGCCAGGATCGGCGTGGTGTGAAGCTGGCGTCCTCTTCCCCCTTCTCCCCCTCCACTTCCTCCCTTCTCATCCTCCTATCGGCGTGTTTACTTGGCATCCTCTGGGCCTGCATTCCCGGAATGCCACCGAGACTGGACGCGGACACGCCGCGCCCCCGCGACCCGCAGCGGGTGCGGAGGCGGCGGAGACGCTGCACAGTCTTCGTGGGCGGGGGAAAGTCGACCCGCACGCCGCCCTCCTCAGGTGAGCCAAAAAAAACCTGACCGGACAAGAACGGGAAGCGCCGTTGTTGCCCACCAAGCGTGTCAGATAACGTGTGGTGTAGAACGTCAACGAAAACTAGAAACACAACACAACACATTTAAGACACATGCTGTCGGTTCATTGCGATGGCCAACCGCGCTAGTCTGCCGTACTGGTCTGTCGAGCCAACCTTTCTTGACATGCACGGGAAGCGCGTGAAATCGAAGAGCTTGGCAAGAACGTGCACCAACATGAATTCCGCATGTTGCGTAGGCGCTCTTCCCGAACATCCACATGGGGTACCAGGTGGACTTCGCTATCCGCGCAAGTTCAGACGTGCCGCTGACCCCGAACGTCCGTAGAAAGAACCAGATGGAGTTCACGATCCGCGCAAATTCACACGTGCCGCTCACCCGAACGTCCACAAAAGATACCAAATGGAATTCACCATCCGCGCAACTTCAGTCACCGCGAACGTCCACAAAAGATACCAGGTGGAGTTCACTACCCGCGCGAGATTAGACGTCGCGCTGACCCCGAAGGCCCACAAAAGATATTAGGGGGAGTTCACTACCTGCGAGAGTTCAGACGTGTTTAGAGGATGTCTCGAGAGAAACGCTATGTTTTTTAACAGCACTGTTGGAACATCCATCGGATTTTCAATGAGGACCCGTCCGAATGCAATGTTTAGAGGATGTCTCGAGCGAAACGCTGATTTGCTAACAAAACTGTTTAAAAACCATTGGTTGTTCAATAATGCCGCTTCTTGGGCCATCTTGGAGGTCGTCCGAGATCGCTCCGAAAAGATGCCTTACAAGAGCTCTTGGCGCATCCCATTTCTTCGAGGATGTCTCAGGCGAAACGCCCATGTTCGAGAATCCGAAAATTATGCGAGCGATTTCAAGATATCCTCGTATGGAGGATGTCTCGGGCGAAACGCCCATGTTTAGCAAAAGACGTCTTAAGATACGACCCCAAACTTCACGATTTGGCTAGGATATCTCGAGCGAAACGCTCATTGTTTAAACTACGGCGTGGCATTTTGAACTGGCGTCGCCCTTTGAACCAAACCGTTACCATACGACGACGGCGACGATGACGACGATGATGGAGACAACTATAGCACAGGTCGGCTGGAGACAAACGCCCACAAAAAATACCAGGTGTAGCTTACTACCCGCGCGAGTTCAGACGTGGCGCTGACAGGAGAAGAAGGCGGAAGAAGAGGAAGAAACCTGATGGTATCGAGGACCCGTCAGAAGGCAATGTTTAGAAGACGTCTCGAGCGAAACGCTATGTTTTTTACAGAACTGTTGAACATCCATGGGCTGTTCAATAATTTCGCGTTCGAGGACCCGTCCGAAGACAATGTTTGGAGTATGTCTCGAGCGAAACGCTCTGGTTTTTAACAACACTGTTGAAAAATCCATCGGATTTTCAATGAGGACCCGTCCGACTGCAAAGGTTGGAGGATGTCTCGAGCGAAAGACTCATTGTTTATCAAAACTGTTAAAAGCCATAGGTTTTTCAATAATGCCGCTTCTTGGGTCATCTTAGGTCATCCGAGACCGCTTCGAAAAGATGCATCACAAGAGCTCTTGGCGCATCCGATTTCTTCGGGGATGTCTTAGGCGAAACGCCCATGTTCGAGGATACAAAAATTTGGAGAGCAGTTGCAACATCTCCATTTTTGGAGGATGTCTCGGGCGAAATCGGGCCAGGAACGCCCTAAGATGGCCAAAGAGGCCCCCAAGAAGCCATCAAGAAGCCCCCAAGAGCTCCCAAGAGGCTCAGGGAAGCCCCCAAGAGGCCTCCAAGAGGCCCGAAGAGTGCCTCAAGAGGCTCCCCAAACGCCTCCTCCTCCTGCTCCTCCTCCCTCTCATGATCCTCCGCGTCATGCTCCTCCAAGCATTCCCCAAAAGATTTCCACAGCAGTTCGGGGAACACCTGGTCTGATAGCTTCGCGAATCTCCAGCTCCAAACGTTTGGCCATAGGGCTTCCAGGAGACGGCTTCGAAACGCCCCAAGAAACTCCAGCGAGGCTCCCCCAGCCTCCGACGGCGTCAGATGGGCCAGAAACGCCTCCGACGGCGTCGGACGGGCCAGAACCTCCCAAGACGGCCAAAGAGGCCGCCAAGAAACCAGGAATCTCCCAGGACGGCCCAAGAGGCCCCCAAGACGCCCAGGATGGCCTCCAAGACGGCCAAGATGGCCTCCAAGATGCCTCCAACACGGCTCAGAAGACCTCGAAGACGGCGAAGATGGCCCCAAGATGCACCCAAGACGGCCCCAGATGGCCTGAAGATGGCCATAGACTGTCCAAAAGACCTGTCAAAGGCCTCCAAGACGGCCCAAGACCCCTCCAAGACGTCATCCAGGAGGCCCGAAAACTTGGAAACCACCTGGTCCGATGGCTCGCCCGACTCCGTGTTCCCCGAAGGCTTTCGAAACCCACTCGGGGAACGCGTGGCCCGATAGCTTGGCCAAGCTCAAACCCAACTTTCGGCCACGCAGGCGCTTCCAAAAAGGCAGGGGGCGGCGGTGATTCGCCGTAGGCGTCTTCGATAAATAAACATACGGCAAAAGTGTGTCGTGACGACTTGCGTACTGGTTCCTGACACCGAATGGAAAGTTCCACGTTGGACGATCATGGCCATCGGATAGCGCGGATCGTTTGACATGTGCCAGATCCGGGCCACTAGCGGCGTTAATCTAAAACGTCCGCGCTGGGGTCACCGCCGCGTCGACACGACCCGACCCTGCTGCAAGCTTTCGAAACTCTGCGCAGATTTCTTGAGTCGGCGCTGCGGCCGCTCCGCGCAGAAGGGGGGGGTCCGGCGCCGATCGAAGAAATCCGTGCGGAGCTCAAAACACATGTTCACGTTGTTGTTTCACTCTTCGACTCCAGCACGATCGGCTTGCATTCGTCCACCATGGTCTCGTGCATTACTGGGCTGTTGCGGTAGCGCTCGATGTGCTGGTCAAGGCCCTGGGTCAGGCTCCAGCTCACGACTGCGTGCCCCTCGCTAGGCTGGCCCCAGCTGTGTCCGTCGATGGCGAGGATGCGCTGGGCGTGATCGGGTCCTGTGAAATTCACGAAAGCATACCCGAAGTTCTGGCACTTCGCGAAATCGAGCGGTAAGTCCACACACCCCGGCGCGCCGGGAGCGGCAAGGCTCCAGGAGCGCTGATTTGAATACCGACGTCTTCCCTTAGTGTCGGCCTCTGGTGGCCCGTGTCGGGCCCCAGAACCATCGGAAAGCTGCTGGTCTGTCTGTGCCCCTTTCGTGGCCCTCATCGGCGTTTGTTATGCCTTTTGGCCAGTGTTCGGGATGTCTCGGGCTAATATTGGGCAGTGCTCTGGTAATTTCTGGCTTCCTGCGGTAGGGCAGGGGTCCACAGACCCAGCGTCCATGTTGCTGATCCGTCGGTAATGACGACGGGCATCGATCAGCCACAAGCATACCTGAGCCCACTCGGGGACGGGATGGAAAGAACGCGGAACGCAGGATAAAAAACAAAACACACTTACACACACCTGCGAGAGAGTTTTCCCTTATTTTTGGGGACACGTCCATGCCGTATTGGATCCATATTCACCTTGTTTGGCGATAGCCAGAGGGTAGGCGGTGAATTCGAAAGGTCTCGAATAAAGGAAATTGTACGATCCCACAAAGCCCCACATATCCAGATGTCGCTGGAGCTGGTCGCGGGTGAAGTGCGGAGGGATGTTCCTGATCGCCACCGTCGTTTTCGGCTCGTCGTTTTCCGCCCCCTGATCATCCTGGGCCAATTCGAGGGGGATATCGAAGCTCTTGGCCTGTTCCCCCCGCGTGCCCGCGGGCGGCTCGCCCCTCCTGCTCGACACGACCGGCGCAGAAAACGCCCGCTTGACGGCCATCTCCAGGATCGAGCTGCTGTCCTCCTCCACCACTGACACGAACGTGCGCTCGACAACAATGCGCATCCCAGCGCTCAGCAATGGAAGATGACTTGGTGCCTCCATGCGCGATGACACCTAAAAAGATGCGAGAGGCAAGTGGTATCCCACCAGCCCTCTGGGCGTAGGTAGTCTGCAAAATTTCCTCTTCCAACTTCCTCCTTCCCCTTCGGGGAGAGGTTTACAGCCCCCCCACACACAGTAAAAACCTGGATGAGGACCATGTGGTAATGGGTTGGAAGGTAAAGGAGAGATGGTGTACCATCCATGAGACTGATCGGATCTGATTTTTGGTACGATAAAAGATTGCCGAGTCCACGGTCACTAAGCAAATCGTGCGCCGGCGTCTTGAACCAGACGCCGACGGCACGCTGGCCATGCTCGCTATACACACCAATCTGAACCCCTTATTCCAGAGTCGATGGTGGGAGGAGACGAGCAGAGCGAGCCGCCAAATCAGGCTACATATTTATGAATGAGAGCACATGACGAGTTGCCATGGGGCTCGGGGTCGCCAGAGCCGCACCCGGCCGGCCAACGCCAGGCTGGGTCTGCAAATACGCGGCAAAACCCGACCTGGCCCGGAGCCAAAGTTGAACCTGCGAGCAAGATTCAATCCGCCGATCCGGCGCGCGAGTTTCTGAAAGCGGGGACTTGGGCTCGCCCGCGCTTCGCTCTGCAGAGGGGGGGGGCATTCCCGACGCGTTTAGCGCTCGGGGGCAGCGGGGCCCACAAGCCCCCAAGAAGCCCCAAGGGGGCCCCAGAAGGCCCGCAACAGGCCCGTAAGAGGCCCCAAGAGGCCTCAAAACGACCCCTTAAAGGTTTCCCCAGGCCCCTTGCTCAATTCCCAGAGCCTCAGTCCTCAAGCCTGAGGATTCCCTGTGGGCTCGGACCCCAAACTCTCATCTCGAGGCCCCCCGCGCGCCATCTGGAGCCCCAAGAATGTCCCCGCACGACTGTCTCGAAACCAAGAGAGGCCCAAGACGGGCCAACTAGACCCCAAGAGGCCCTCACGACGCACCAGGAAGCCCCGAATCACCGAACGATCGGTCCAAGACGCCAAAGATGGCCCCACGGTCATTACCATAGTAAACACCATCCTAAAAGTATCGTCATCAACATCATCATCATTATCTGGAACGCCTCAGATCGGCGGCACTGGCCAGAGGCCATCACAATGCGCAGACTGCATGGGCTTGCCTGGCCACTTGTCAGCGGCAGCAGCGCGGCGCCCAGAGTAGTTTGACCCAAGGCGCGCGCAGCGTAGAAGAGTAGATGATCACAATAGCATAGCACAGGCAGAATATAAAAAAAGAAGACAGGCCTGCCTCAAAGCGTGCTCCCACGCAACATGGAAGCATTCCGCCGGCTCGTCACGGGCTGGGCTCAGCGTTCGAGGTCGGAGCCTGTAAGGAATAGAAGTCCCCAGCTCGCGCTCGCAGGATTGCTTTCCCGCCGTACCTTGCACTGGCAGGGCCCGTTATAAACTGCCTTTGGTATGTCCATGGACAATCAGATCCAGCGTGTCAGACCATTGTATGTTGTGTGCGATACGCAAGACCATCATCTGGATTATCCAGTACTGTGTCCTAGCAATTTACCTCGCGTAGGTTTATCAAACTCCTCGCTGGACAAGAACTCGAATACAAACTCAGCCAGAATCAGCGGTGAAGGTTGTTTGGATGCAGAGATCGCCCATTCCAAAAAAATGTTTGGGCTGCGCCTGCGCAAGCGGTCCCGCCTCTAGCTCGCGTTGGGGAACCATGGTCGGGAAGCAGTTGTTGTTTGAGTTATGGGTTGCTGCAAGCGTCTCCGCAGACTAGCTTCATCTTGCCTGCATTCGAAGCGACTTGCAGTAGGCATCTAGCAGGCACACGACGGATTTACCATTGAGCGTGAGTCCAGGCCGGAATAGGTTGGCACCTGTGACGCCATAACCAGTCATCTCGTCCTGAAACGCCCCCGGTCCATCGTCGATAACCAGAGTCGCTGTGTAGGTCGACTTCTCTGGTGGGTATCATGGCCGGGTAGACCTTCTGAATTAGGCTCTGTAGTTTCCGCGCAGTTGCATTCAGCCGCCGCGCCAGGATGTCAGCGGGTTCTTCTCCCCGTTGCAAAGAGACAACGCATGCCATCAGCCAGACCTGGGCCATCAGAGCATATGCGAATGCTCCACGGAGGCTAACGAACATGTCTGCGACAAATGTCGTTCCTTTCTCCTCAGCCTCTGCACCGGCAAGGTCGGCATGTTGGACGGGGCGAAGTTATTTGAAGCATTCGTCCTGGTCTAACGCAACGTCTCCACGTTCGTTCCCCGTATATCTGGCGGCATACTTGGCGCGGGTATGATTGTTGAAGTCGCGCGCGCCGAAAGTGTTTTCGACTCATTCTACGTAGCGATCGATAGCTCTCTCTGTTCCAGTCACGTCGATGTCGTCTACGCGTTTCACCGTCAGCAGCGCCCCCGCTCTCGCGGGGCGCCCTTCGTCCCAGCCCCTAGCTGAACACTGCAAGCAGCGTCGACTTTCGTTGCGCCCCTCGAACCCAAGGGGAGTCCTTAACCCAACTTCTGATCCAGGTGGTTGTGCAAAGCGCACGATGCGTTCCATCTCTCCAGCGGCTTCGGCAATATCGCGGTAGGTGGTTCCCGTCAGGAATGCCTCGTCTATCTCCATGCACGCGATTATCCGGCCAGGGTTGCATGCGCCTTCACTGGCCAACAGGCGCCAGCTTCTCCTTCTGGCCCTTCCTGAGAAGGCTTCTACATCAGAGGCTTCCACGACCATGAATCCTCGCAAGACAGGTCTTAGCTGGATTGTCCTAACTGTTTCTCCCACGTCATTCGTGACAAATTTCCATTCGTAAGCATAACGCGAGGTCATGACGTCTGAGGCGACTGACACATATGCCATCTCGACTCCATTTTTACCAATGCCAACCTTTAGTTCAGCGTAAAGTGCCTTGCCTACCTGCACTGGGTTGGTTATTATTTCAGCCTCGGTAAACAAGTCATCTTCCTTCTACCACCACCGCGCGCTTAACTGCCGCGGAGACGCATGTCCGCAGTATCTTTCTGAAATAAACGATATTGTTATTCGGTAAGCACGACCTTGCTATGCTTGTCGCTGTCACGAGTACACTCCTGGTCGCAATCTGGAATCACTGGCACGTGGTACACGTCTGGATTGTGGTAGCGCGCGTCTCCCCGATGACGAGTGCCTGGGTCATCGCTGGCCACGGTGAAAGGATCGCCTGGTCCGGTACAAGCATAGTCAGCATCATGCGAGGTGGTTCGACCATCGCGGCATCGAGAAGCTCGCGTTCGTCTTAAAGTCCTTTTGACCACGTTCTCGAGCCCAGAGGCTAGGCATTGCAATGCAAGCCGCACCAAGGGCGATTACGTGCCGGATGTGGTCGTGCGCAAGTATCCTTGCTTAGTTGGTAGGTGTCTAAAGGTCATCGCAGGTCCCCCTGCAGGTAGACTCGCGACTAAGGCAGGCACAGGTCGAAGCGCTGCGAGTGTCATCTGAACCGAGTTCTCGGACCATCAGCACTTCAATGTCAAACGCGCGCCTTAAATCAGGGCATTGAACATCAACTTCGGGACTACCGACCCGCACTTTGGACCGTCCCCTTTCAAGGTCATTGCGTTCAACTGGGCATGGACCATTCCAACCTCCCCAGTCGTCCTTCGTTGCGATGGGTCGGTGGGAACATGCTGCATCACCGTCGCGGTAGAGTATCCGGCCTGGTGGTGTTGTTTTAGTGCGTAGTGCCCTGATAGCTTTAGCAACAGCAATCGCTCATGGCTTCCAGGCTGATCTCGCGCATCCGCTGTTCTCGTGAATAGTCAAAGGTTTCCGTCTGTTGTTCGCGGTCCAGCATCGGCAGGTCGGGCAGACGTGCTGGCTGGCGCCCATACAACGCTGGATATAGAGATACGCCTTTGTGGAACGTCGTAAAAGCGCTGGTCACGAACATCGCATCATGCAGTAGTCCCGGGAAAAATCGTGGCATGTTGTCGTTTTAGGTATTCCTCCATCACGTCCATGGTCTGTCGTAGAAATCCATTTCTGGATTATGATCGGGACGCGTTGTCCGCGCGCTCGGATCCTGAGCTCAGCGCCCTCTGGCTCGAGGAGGTCCCACGCTGCAGAATGGATGAGAGCCCCCTCTCCATCTGAGAACAGGATTTTGGCAGGGCCACGCTGCAAACGCGCGCAATGGCATGCGCACAGTACCGAGGTCATGGTTTTATCAGGGATGTCTTGACCAGCTGCACAGCGAATGCATCGGTCTGCAATGTTGAATACGATGTGTGTCTCATAGAAGGACAGGTCACATTCACAGTCCTCATTGGATTTCTCTGGCAAGGCCGCCGACGGCACGACGGCGTTGCCTGGCTTCTTCCATGCTCGGCATTCCCGACACGAACCACACGCGCCTTGAGGTTAAGCCTATCGCGGCCAAGGCCTATCTTCGCTAGGATACGCCTCAACTTAGGCTCCTTCACATGGCGCAACCGTGGGTGTAGCTTTCGGTGTTCCTTGGCGACGACGGCTGGATCGAAACTTCGGAGGTTTGATAAGCTGGGTTTGAGATGGACATCGAAGCGAGTCCAATCAGGACGTTTAGGAGCAGGTGTTTCCGCGGCAGCTTCCGCCGCGGACGCTGGCGGCGGTGGCTCGCCACGCCGCGCGCGCCCCCGCCGACGCTTGATTCTTAAATGGTCGTCGGAACTCCCTGCGCCTCCTCCTCCTTTCCCGCCCGCCAGCGTGCGCTTCCCGCGTCGCATCACGATTCCCAGCACCCCGAGTGGCATCTGAGGAAGGACGCGGGCGAGGTGTAAAATAGTCGGGGTTTGCCCGAGATGACCGGCTTCCGCTTGGTCGTCGGGCATCTGGATGTGCTTCGGGCCCTGCTGGCGGGGCCGCCGACGGGGCCGGCGCTTCCACTGGCGGCCGCGGGGCGCAAGCTGGAGGTTGATGCGGGGCGGCTGGCAATTCGCGAGGTTTTGCCAATCTGCACGTGCCAAGTGTCTTCGCGCGCCCCGCCATGTTAGAACAGCGGTTTCTCTCGCAGGTTTCGCACTTCCAGTAGAGAAGGGCCACGTCGTACAAACGGCACATGCGCGGGCCAATCGCGTGGTCTGGCGCATCCTTTTGGATTTATCTACACACGCCGGGCACCCCTGGCCTCTCCCGGCGGTTGCCTGGTCATTACGCCAGAGGGGCCATGCGGCATGTCCTCGGCGCCAAAGTCGAAACCTGCACTGTTGACCACGAAGACAGGGGCGCGCTTCCGCTTGCTAAACGGATCGACAGGCGATTCGATGAGCTTCATCGCGATGAAGACAGCATCGGCGAAGAATGATTGAAATTCATGCGCGTACTGCTGCGACGCAGCAAGCTCCTCACTACTCACCTGTGCGTGTTCATGAAGGCCGTTGCATTTCACCCCGTGGAAGGGCGTCATAAGATCGGAGTGATTGCACATGATCTGCGCAGGCTTCCTGATAAGGGTACCATTTCAATATATCAACCCTGTGGCGCACTGATCCATTGCGATCTTGTGCGCGCACGTTCGTTCCTGCAGGGGGCGCCAGGCAGGTATCTTG